GGTGGGTGGGTGGGTGTGTGTGTGTATACTCATATATACATATATTTTGGATTTCAGATGTTCACATTGGGGTTGTTCAGCCTATATTTTCTTTTCTGTGCCTAGCTTATTTCACATATTTTAGCATAATGTCCTACAGTTCCATTTGTGTTGTCATGAATGACAGTATTTTCTTATTGACACATTGTGTCTGTGTGTACCTGACATTTTCTTTGTTCATTAATTTGTTGATGAACATTGAGTTGATTCCACACCTTGACTATTGCAGATAAGGCTGAAGTAAATAGACTTGGGAGTGTAGCTATCTCTTTGACATACTTAGTTCAGTTGTTTTGGTTATGTACCCACAACTGGGATGGCCAGATCATATGGTAATTCAGTTTTTAATTATTTAAGGACCCTCCATACTATTTCCAAAATGGCTGTACAAATTTATATTCCTATCGGGAACCAGCAGTTAGCGTAATGGCTATGTCACTGAACTCCCAGGTAGTTGACCGCAGTTCGCGTCCCGGACCCGGTGGCTTGAAACTCATGCTGGGCGCATGTGTGTGCATGCCCAAGATCCTGAGAGGAGAGTGGAGGAGAAGGGATTGCAGCGTGACCATCTCCCCTGGGGGGTGATTTCTCGCTTTCTGTCTCTATGTCTCTCTCTCTCTGTCTGGCGAGCGCATGCGCCCTATAGCGAAAAAATCTCTCCAAAAAAAAATTTTTTTAAATTTATATTCCGATCAACAGTGTTCAAGGATTCTTTTTCCTCCATATCTTTGCAAACATTTTTTTTATTATTTGTCTTTTTAATAGTAGCCATTTAAAAAGATGCGGGTCTCATGGTGGTTTAATTTGCATTTCTCCAATAGAGATGTTGAGTGTTTTTTTTTTTAAAGAATTATTTTATTTATTTTTTGTTATTATTATTTTCACATGAATTTTGCCAGAGAAAGACAGAGGGAGAGTTAGAAACAAGCTACTAGGTCTGGGACTCAGACTGCTGTTGGCCATGTGGGAATTCCAGCACCTTAACCACCATCGCCATGCCACTTGCTGGTCCTGAATATTTTTTTCCTTTATTGTATGTTTATATGTATCTTTTTTGAGAAATGTCTGTTGAGGTCCTTTGCCTTTTACTTTAAAAATCTGGTTATTCGTTCTGTTGATGTTTGAGTTTTATTTAAACCACTTAATAGGAAAACATTGGAAGCAACTCTGATGTTCAATATTACAAGATTGGTTAGATAAATTTTGTATATCCTTATGAATGAACATTAGATAGCCAATAAAATTATGATAGAGATGTACATTTACTAACATGAAAAGATGTTACCAGTAGATTGCAAATTGAACAAAGCAAATTATAAAACAATATTCATAGTATAAATGCAATTTAGTAATTGTATATGTATATATATTATAACTAGAAAAAGTCTAAAAGAACACCAAAAAGGAGATCAAAATGATTATAGTAAATATCTATTCAGTATCTCTTATGAAATTTTTAAATACTTAGACTGTTTATGTATAACCTTTGAACTTCTAATTCCATTTTGAAGGATATTTTTTAAGGAAATGATCAGAAATTCAGACAGATATTTAAGTACAAGTCTGTTCAGTAAGTGATAAAGATGACTTCATGATTTATGATATTTATAGAAAAATCTGGAAACAATTTATTAAAACAATAGTAGCATTAAATGTTGAGAATGTAGATGATAGTTATTTTATATATATATATTTTGCTTCCAAAAAAATTTTAAATTATTAGAAAAAATAGGAATTATTTGAATAATACTTAGAATGAAAACTGCAATAGTGTATTCTAATTTTAGATTTTCATATTGGCAATATTTTTTCAATTTATGTAATAAAATAACCAATGTGTAAGATGAATATTCATTTTATTATTACGATATCATTTTCTAATACATTTTGACCTAGTTTCTTTATTGATAGCTCAGCAGGGTTTAATAATCTGTCTTTTAAAATTTTTTTAAAAGAATTATTTTATTTAACTTTATTTATTTATTTATTTATTTATTTTAATTTGACCAGAGTGGGACAGAGTAAGAGGACAGAGAGGAAAAGTGAGAAAGCAAGCCACCAGGTCTGGGATTCGAACCAAAGTCAGCCATGTGAGGGTCCAGTGTCCTTAACCACATGCCACCTGCTGGCCCCAAACTGTCTTTTTAAGTGTCAAAGAAGAAAAAAGCCTCTTTCAGGTCTAATTCTAGCTCTTTAGATCCTTAATCCAAAAGAGTTTGTTGGTCAAGACCTTATAATAATGGTGAAAAAGAAAGGCTGATGGGGGGACCAGCAGTTAGCATAATGGCTATGTTGCTAAACTCCCATGTAGTCGACCACGGTTGAGTCCCGAACCCGGTGGCTTAAACTCACGACAGGTGCGTGTGCATGCGTGCCCAAGATCTCAAGAGGAGAATGGAGGAGAAGGGATTGCGGTGTGGCCATCCCCCCTGGGGGGTGATTTCTCGCTTTCTGTCTCTCTCTCTCTCTTTCTGGCGAGCACATGCACCCTATAACAAACAAACAAATAAACAAACAAAACTCTCCAAAAGAAGAAAAAAAAGAAAGGCTGATGTTGGAATGTTATGGAGGATATAATAGACGTGGAATAACAATACATCCAGTCATGCCATGTTTGCTCCTTCTGTTGTCACAGTGCAAAAACAGGTTTCTCATAATAATGAGAGAATATGTCCTAATAAAATCATTACTAGTTGGAAATATTGAAAGTTGAAAATACATTTAATAACTTTACCTATTAAACATTATGGCTTAGCCTAGATCATCTTAAATGTGCTCAGAACACATATTAGCCTACAGCTAGGCAATATTATCTTAAGCCAAAGCCTATTTTTTTTTTTTAAGATTTATTTTTTGTTTTATTTATTATCATTATTCTTCAATTTTGACCAGAGAGAGACAGAAAGGGAGAGTGAGAAATCAACCACCAGGTTCAGGACTTGAACCGTGGTTGTCCATGTTGGAAGTCCAGCACCTCAACCACATGCCGGCTACTGACCCCCAAAGCCTCATTTATAATAAGGTATGGAATATCTTATGTAATTTATTATAAACCATATTTAAAGTGAAAACAGGATGCAGTTATTATTTTAAGTCAAAATCAATGTCAATTTAAAAAAACAAATAGTAGCTTGCACTATCATAAAGTCAGGAAATTGTAAATTGAATCATTGTAAGCTAGGGAAACACATATTGATATTTGACATAGGAGTTCATAAATGGTGGTAGTGGTGGTGGTAGATAAGATTTTTCTTGGGGCCGGCAGGTGACATGGTGGTTAAGGAGCTGAACTCCCACATGACTGACTACCGTTAGAGTCCCAGACCTGGCAGCTTACTTTCTCACTTTCCTTCTCTGTCTCTGGTCAAATTAAATAATAATAATAAATGAAATTAAATAAATAATTCTTTGGGAAAAGATATTTTTCTTGGGACTAGAAATGAACTGTAATGGCTATGTCGCTGGACTCCCACGTAGTCGACCATGGTTCCAGTCCCGGATCTGATGGCTTAAACTCAAGCCGGCGCATGTGCATGTGTGACCAGGATCCTGAGAGGAGAATGGAGGAGAAGGGACTGTGGCATGGCCATCCCCCTGGGGGATGATTTCTTACTTTCTGTCTCTCTGTCTCTTTCTGGCGAGAGCACGTGCCCTATAACAAAGACCTCTCCAAAAAAAAAAATTTTTTTTTTCCTTGATATAAACTTGTTTTCTCCCGGAAGAGAAAGATTCATTTCTGTTTAAATGATTGCATTTCTTTTGTTACCTTTGTTAATCTGTTTATCATTCTGAGATGCTAATTATAAATACACTTTTTTTTTTCATAGCTGGAAGCCAACATGTGATGTTTTTCATAAACATGAAGATTATATGCAGGACCAATGTACTATTTATCAAGATACTATTGAAAAAGACAAGTACAGTACATATATTGATTTAAACTTTGGAGTTCTATTAATTAATTATTAGTAGGATATACTTTATAAGAATTTTAATTAAAAAATGTAGAAATTTTATACTCAGAAAAAAATTTTAAAGTAAATATAGTATTTAATACACTTTGGGTACTATTGGAGTTCTACCTCTGTTTAGTCAAGATCTGTCTTAGCCTGGAAATGTTTAAATATGGCCTTAGATATAAACTATTTTGTAGCCATTATTTCAGCAGAGTCCTTCAATTAGTGGTCTTTATGAATGAACTGTTAGACAAACATCTAGGGCAATAGTTATCTGTAGAATTAACTTCTTAAAAATTTGGGGTACTGATTTTTGAAGGGTATTTTATTATCAAACTTCTGTTTTTCAGACTGCTAATTGATTGGGTTGGTTATATTCTAATGGAGAAATACCAATAGTTGTGGGGATTTATTTTACTGTGTTTCAAATCACATTGTCTTGGGTAAATGTAACTAGTGAATATAATGAAACAAAGTAAAAGATCATGAGCACATTATATAGCATTGAAATTTCACATAATTTAAAAAAATTTTAATGTTTTCATTAAATGTGGGAACATGGCAACCCATGGTTCAAGTTCTAGACCTGGTGGCTTCCTTTCTCATTTTCTCTCTTTCTCTAGTCAAATTAAAAATGAATAATAATAAAGTTAAATAAATGATTCTTTAAAAATAAATAAATACTACCATATGATTTTTTGAAAACTAGATAAAAAAAATCAAGGATACAGGACCAGCAGGTGGTATGGTGGTTAAGGGCGCTGGACTCCCACATGGCTGGCCATGGTTTGAGTCCTAGACTTGGCAGCTTGCTTTTTCACTTTCTTTTTACATCTCTCTCTATCTTTGTCCCTCTCTAGTAACATTAAAAATAAATAAATAAAATTAAGTTAAACAATTCTTTAAAAATAAATCAAGCGTACAGGGAAGTGAGGATAATAAGGAAAGACAAAAATCTTTGATGAAGTCAGAAATTTATATTATGTGGCCCTGCATGTCTATTAGATACAGGCACAAATCAGGCTTGAGATTCCTAGTAGTCAAAGCGTTGTAGAAATTTGACCAGTTTAGCCGGGCGCATGTGCGTGTGTGCCCAAGATCCCGAGAGGAGAATGGAGGAAAAGGGATTGCGGTGTGGCCATCCCCCGTGGGGGGTGATTTCTCGCTTTCTGTCTCTGTCTCTCTCTGTCTGTCTGGCGAGCGCACGTGCCCTATAGTGAAAAACCTCTCCAAAAAAAAAAGAAAAAATTTGACCAGTTTAGGATTCAGGGTATTACTTAAAAAAACCAGTTGAATTGCTTAGTGGAGTCTTTTCCCAAGGCTTGAGAGAAATTTCTCTTTTGGATCCACATAAAGGAGAAGTTGTGCAATGTAGTAATGTTGTCAGTGACCTGCCCTCACAAAACATAATATATATCATTGTTTCTTATAACATCTTTCCATGTAAGTTATGAGCATAAGCCTGAAACAAAGCAGTCCAAATAAGTTTCTCTGTGAGTGTTTATTGTAGAGGACTTCTCTGAGCTAACCAGAAGTATTAAAGTGAAAACAAATCTACTCTTCTTACATAGACACAATTTCTTCCAATTTTAACAGAAAAATGTATCATGGTTATGTGTGTCAGTATAAAGATGTTTTGAAGCAGTACCAACTGAAATACTCAGAAACACCTTTTTCACATGAATATTATGAGAAGAAAAAAGAACATGAAGAAATTCAAAACAGAGTGTTGACATATTCTGAACAATTAAAAACAAATGAAACTATTTTAATGGAATTCCTAGGTATTAACATTTTTGTTATATATTATCTTAATTATTATGTCTTTATAATGAAAAGAATATAATAAATTGATCTAAACTATGATTTGTTTTTCAGTGCCAGCTCCCTTTCCATCACTTATTAAATGGACATTACATGTGTATCCACAATAGTATTTCTGTTTGTCATTTTTATTAGATAAGTACTACTTCTGTGTTTTGTTACTGTATTTCCCTGATGAGAGTCACATGGGTTTGTTTCTATTTAATTCAAATATTTAATTTTATTTTTAATTAAACAATTTTTGCTTGTGGGCATGTGCACTTGCCAGCAAGAGGGAAAGAAAGGGAGAGTGAGAAAGCACCCACTATGGGGGGGGGGGGAGGTCATGTCACAATCCCTTCTTCATTCTCTTTTTGAGATTTTGGGCACACATGCATACATGCTCAGCATGTTCTTCAAGCCTCTGGATCTGGAACTCACATGCACATTTGTGTGTGATCCAGCGATCTTAATCACTACACTTGACTGGCCCAATTCAAATATTTTAAAGGTCAGTTTAAAGAGTGTATGGGACTAGTTTTCATGTCCATGTGGTCAGATGCAAGCAATTGATTATTACTTGTTATGATGGAAGGTAGTAATTTATAATTATTCATTCAACTATAGAAATTCATTTGTTACCCAGGGCTGGCAGGTGGTGTGGTGATTAAGGTGCTGGGCTCCCACATGACTGACCACGTTGTGAGTCCCGGCCCCTCTGGTTTGCTTTCTCACTTTCCCTCTCTTTCTGTCTCTCTCTCTCTCTAGTCAAATGAAAGAATAATAATGATAATAAAAAATAAACGATTCTTTAAAAAAATTTATTAGGTACTGGGGCCGGCAAGTGGCATGGTGGTTAAGGTCTGGACTCTCAAGTGGCTGACCAGGGTTCAAGTCCCGGACCCTTTGTGTTTTCTCTTCATCTCTCTCTCTAGTCAAACTGAATAATGGTAATAAATAAAATGAAATAATTCTAAAAAAAATATTTGTTGGGTACTATCTATACTATCTTGTCCAGGCAAGATACAGAAGATGAAGATACAAAACTCCTTGCAAGGAACTCACAATTTAGTAGGGAAGACAGACATATAAACAAACAATTTAAATACAGTACCATTGTAATACTTGCTTAAGTAATTCTTAATTGGTCTAAGTCTTACCTATTTGTCAGAGAGATCTTCCCTGATGATGAACTTGAAACTTTAATCCTCTTTCAACCTCTACAATCCTTCATATGCTTTCCTATCAGATTATATCTCTACTGTTTGTTCTAAGTCGTCTTTATCCCTGCTTTCTACCTTGCTTCCTGTGTGCTTCATCCTAAACCATCATTTTAACTCCTCTGCTGCTTTCTCTCTCCATGTTTTGGTTTTAGACTCTTCTGTTTTTAGTTGTTCATTTGCTGCCTGTCTGTGGGAAAAGGCAGAGGTTGGTAAATGGTAAAGGCATAGCAAGAGTTTAGGCAGTTTGACATAGGATGGGATGGGATGAGATGTAAGGTGGCATAACAAAGAGTTGAATAGATATGAGAAGAATTAGAGGTTAGGATTCAAATATCTGTATCCAAAATTTTAAATTGTTATTTCTGGTAATAACATAGCCTTATAAATCATATTCACCTGAAATTTTGTGCTCTATCATATAAATAATATATATTTTTCTAAAGAATTATTTTATTTAACTTTATTTATTTACTTAGTTTAACCAGAGAAGGACAGAATGAGGGGGTGGGTGAGAAAGCAGGCTTCCAGGTCTAGGTCTCGAACCGAGGTCAACCATGTTGGAGTCCAGTGCCCTTAATTACCATACCACCTGCTGACCCATAAATAATATATTTTTAAGGCATGATAGAGAAGGTCAGATAAATTTTCTCTGGCGTTTTTGTTCACTATTACTATTCTGTCATTTAAAATTTATTCTAAATGGATTGTGGAGTACTTTAGGAAATTGTATTAGCTAATAACAATGCAGGATGTCTATAATAGTGGAGAAATTCTCTCTGTGAAATAGGGTATAGCTCCATTTTAAGAAGAAAATTCAGATGGATGATCTAACTCTTTTCTGAAATCTCTAGGGTACAATGACAGCACGAAAAAGGGAAATGAGTGGATTTAAAATTTTGGTTTTGAGACAAATACTAATAAAAGCATAAATTAACTTTGGATCTGAGATGATTAGTTTTTGTAGTCATGCCAAGTGACACAGTGAACATGGGTAAAAGAGTAAAAGGAAAAGCAAAAAAACTGCCTTGTGTTGACTCAGTGGCACAGTGGAAATAATGCTGCTAAATTGAAGGTGGGCCCATATGGAAAGTCATAGATTCAGATCCCTGGTTGACTTGTATGCACAAGGCATGTATGCCCATGATCTTGGCTGGCTGAGATAGCTGGGAAGGGAGAGTGGGGAGTGGACTGTGGTGTGAGACTCTGTACATTTCTTGTCTCTCTTGTTTTGTCCCTATCTCATTAAATAAATAAACTTTAAAAATACCCTGTGAAATAATTTAATTGAAAAAATGTTCTAATAAAGATTTTGAGTGAAATGTTATCTTTGAGCTCAATATACAGCATAAATGATAAATAATCTTTGTTAGTCTGTCAAATGTTATATTAGTTTTACCTCTGTTTTCAGATACTGATACTAATATTGCTTATATGGGACATACATATAAATAATGTTACATAATGTTTCTGATATAGTACATGTAAGTGTAAAATTTACTTGCATGACATAGTTCCTTAACATGAAAAGGGTTGATCTGCGAAATAAAACACAAACTATTCTTAAACATGCCAGCAATTTTACCAAAAGTTCATCTGAACTGAAGAAAGAAGTAGATGAAATGGAAATAGAAATTAATTATTTAAACCAGGTATATATTTTGTTATATGTTTTTACTATATGTATTAATGTATAAATGGTATGTTAGTTTAAAGCCTTAGCTATTTCTAAAAGAGTTTAATTATGGAGAAAGGCTTATGAAAATTTATTTACCACAGATTAACTTTGGAGTCAAAATATATTTTAGGTGCTGAATATATTTAACTCAAAGTTTTGGGGAATAGTTTAGGTTTCCTTGTGGTCTGAGAAAAGATGAAGAAAGAACAGGAGTTTAATAGCAGAAACAATGGCATTTAAAGAGCTATAATGGTGTTTTCAAAAAGAACAAAACAGTAAAGTTCAAATAATTTAATTTTGAAAAATTTATGACTGGGACCAGCAGGTGGCATGGTGGTTGGCATACTGGACTCCCACATGGCTGACCATGGTTCATGTCCTGGACCTGATGGCTTATTTTCTTGAGTCCCAGACCTGGGGGCTTGCTTTCTCACTTTCCCTTTCTCTCTCTCTGGTCAAGTTTTAAAAAATTATTATTATTATAAATTAAATTAAATGATATTTTTAAAAAAGAAAATATATGACTATAGTTTGTAATTTTTAGAGAGCTAGGTTAGAACTAGTTTAGCCTTTAAGATTTTCTTGAATACACATTGTTAGCATCATCTTTTGAATAAGTATGAGAACTGGGAACCATCAGTTGGCGTAATGGCTATGTCGTTGGACTCCCACGTAGTCGACCACGGTTCGCGTCCCGGACCCAGTGGCTTAAAACTCACGTCGGGCGCGTGTGTGTGCATGCCCAAGATCCCGAGAGGAGAATGGAGGAGAAGGGATTGTGGCGTGACCATCCCCCCTGAGGGGTGATTTCTCGCTTTCTGTCTCTCTGTCTCTGTCTCTGTCTGGCGAGCGCACGCGCCCTATAGCGAAAATCTCTCCAAAAAAAAAAAAAAGAATAGGTATGAGAACCTATCAAAGTCACTTCCAAATTTTGAGAAAAAAATAGAATACCTAATTTTCTAAAATTTTTGAAAATTTCATTAAAGATGATATGTTTAGGGCCAGCAGGTGGCATGGAGGTTAAGGCAGCTGGATCTCACATAGCTAACTCTGTGATTTGAGTCCTAGACCTGGTGGCTTGAAAATCAAGCCATGCATGTGTTCCTAAAATCCCAAGAGGAGAATGGAAGAGAAGGAATTACAGCAAGGTCATTCCTCCTGGGGGTGATTTCTCGCCTTCCCTCTCTCTCCCTCTGGCGAGTGTACATGCCTTAAAGCAAAAATTAAAGATTATATATTTATCATTCATTGTTATGAGGTACCAAATAACTGATATAATCTTGGAATAAGAAGAAAGTGTATGCCATTTCCTTTGAGATACATTTGTAATTGGGTCCCTATGTAAGAAATCAGTGTCTACTTTGCTTATGACTGCCTTCTTTTAAAAAGATGAAAATTTATTAACATTTACATTTGCCGATGGAGTTATAAGAAAAGTTAAAGGGGTGTGATTTATTGTTAATCTTGACTCCATATTAGGAACTTTCAATAAAATATAATGAATACTACCAAAAACTATAAATTGTAGGGGCTGACAGGTAGCGTGGTGGTTAAGGGTGCTAGACTCCCATGTGGCTGGCTGGGGTTCGGGTCTCGGAACTGGTGGCTTGCTTTCTCACTTTTTCTCTGTCTCTCTCTGGTCAAATTGGAAAATAATGATAATAATAAATAGAGGTAAATAAAAAACACCTTATAAATTGCAATTCTAAGAACAAAATAATATTCACTAAGATAAAACATTTACTGCTTTGCAGGTAATTGTTTTGCATTTCTGTTTTTTATTTTAGCATATCGCAAGACATTATGAAACTAAGAATCTTTCAGAAACTCAAGACGAACAGAGCAAAAACACAGAAAAAAGAAAAGAATTGAAAGAAAGGTATAGGTAAACTTTAAAATTGGATTTTATGTGAACAGTATTCTGCATTTAAAAGGCTGATTGTTGGGACCAGCAGGTGGCGTGGTGGTTATGGTGCTGGGCACTGCCACATGGCTGACCACGGTTGGAGTCCTGGACCTAGTGGCTTCCTTTCTCATTTTCCCTCTGTCTCTCTCTCTGTGTGTCTCTCTCTGGCCAAAATAAAATAAATGAATGAATAAATAAAATTAAGTAACTAATTTAAAAAAAAATGTTGATTGTATATTTTATCCCAGACTACTAATATTTCCACAGTGTGAGCAAGCTATTTTCTAATGAAAAAATGTTAATTTAAATATTTAAATATTATGAACTAATACTTAAATCTGCTTGTTATTTAGTAAGGCCAAGGATTATATATAATAGAAATAGGGTAGCAGCAGCACAATTGCTGTTCTATCACTGGTTTCATCTAGCTGAGTCAGCTCCTGGACTGGCTATAAAAGTAGAGGCAGAAGTGTTCCCACAAGGGAATCCTAACCTGTCAGTTGGGATTATAAAGAAGCATTAACACCTAGGGTAACTCTTCCAAAGCATTTATTAGGGGAACTTACAGAGTGCAGGGACCAGCAGTTGGCGTAATGGCTGTGTCGGTGGACTCCCATGTAGTTGACCACGGCTCGAGGCCCGGACCCAGTGGCTTAAACTCAATGCTGGGTACATGTGCGTGTGTGTGTGCCCAAGATCCCAAGAGGAGAATGGAGGAGAAGGGATTGTGGCGTGGCCATCCCCACTGGGGGGTGATTTCTCACTTTCTGTCTGTCTGTCTTTCTCTGTCTTTCTGGCAAGTGCACATGCCCTATAGCAAAAACCTCTCCAAAAAAACCAAACCCAGAGTACTGTAGTGTATCCTCAGATGAACAGCAAAGAAAGAGACACTCTACTAAGGTATGTATAAAATGAGGGCATCAGGGTATGGAGTTTATATGAGAGTTTAAGCAATTTAGGGGGCAGTTTGTTGGGATGCTCTGGGGGACTGCCCCAAATGGGAGGGTTCCAGATTTCCATAAATAGACTGTCTTGAAACTTACAGTGTGTGTGTCAGGGGGTAGGTGAAGAGGCACTTGGACACACACACACACTGAATCCAGGGGTGGCTTAAATTAGGAGTGGATTGCTGAGTGGCGATTCCTTGGAGGGAGCTGTCTCTCTCTCTTGCTCATAGAAGAAAGATGTAAATAAACTTCAAAGTTAGTGGGGAATCAGCAGGTGGCATGGTGGTGAAGGTACAGGATTCCTATGTGGTCAACTGCAGTTCTAGTACCTAGACCCAGAAGCTTGAAAATCACACTGCGCATGTTTGCGTGCATGCCCAAATCCTGAACAGAGAATGGAAAAGGAAGGAATGTGGTGTGGCCATCCCCTTGGGGGGTGATTTCTCACTTTTCCCCTCTCTTTCTCAATCTGTCTCTGGCAAGCACATGTGCCCTATAGCAAAAACCTAAAGAGAAAAAAGTTAGTGGAGAAGTGGAATTAAACTATAGAATAATTAATAATAATAATAATAATAATAATAATAATAATTTGGCTCAGGGCAAGGGCCAGTTTCTTTCAGTGTTTTGGGCAACAACTAAATATTTCTATCTGCCTGAAAATGTTCAAGACCTTTGTTTTGGCCTCAAGCCTGCAGGAGAAATGCCACTGCCTAGGTCACTGAGCAGTCAAGGTACTTCATGTTTCTCTGTCAGGACAATAGAAAAAGTAGGGAGTCTGGGAGACCCTACTCCTGTCAGTTGTATGATTCTTTCATTTCTTAGTAATGGGTCAGGAAGAGTAGTAAAACAGGAGAAATGATGGTGGGAACCACAGTGTATTTAATTTTTTACTACCCTGTCACCAGCTTGTCAAGTATTTTCTTTGCCACAGAGTGCGAAGATGAGTCAAGGCATGCCGCTAAATATGTGGCATCATTTATTTCTTTGTCCTTCATCTTAAGGGTAATAAGATAGACATCAGTGGTGACTGCACCAAAAGAAAATATTGATTTTGCCTGTTATTGCATGACAGAAAACTAGATGTATTACTATTGCTGTTTCTGATAAACTTTCTACTCTTCCTTTCTGCCTGTATTCCTTTTTTCATTCTTAAATATGTTTCCTCAAGTTGCATTGCCCTTGATTTTTCAATACACTCTTCTCCTAAGTTAATTTCCCTAATCCAACTTCCTTAGATCTATTATTTTCTTATTCTCCCACTCCCATGTATCATGGCAATGTGTGTTTAAGTTGATAACAATACTGATTTTAAAAATAGGTAGTTAGGCCCAGCCTCTGGTCTACCAGCTAAGGGAGCTGGATCTCACATGCCTGACTGTGTGTCTCGAATTCTGGCCCTTTTGGCTTAAAAAACATGCAAGGCACATGTGTGTGGATGCCCAGGATGGGGAAATGGAGGAAAAGGGACTGCAGCATGACCATGCCCCATGGGGGAGGGGTGCTTTTTCCCTCTCCCCCCCTCTCTCTCTCTAGCAAGAACATACACCTTCTGGCCAATAAAAAAAGAAAAAAACAGGTAAATGAACAGAATTTCACATTATTGACAACTTTTTAATTTAAAATTTCTGTATATTGAGAGAAACTTACATAGTTTTTTCACTCAATATATATTTTGATAAATTATATTCTATTTCTTTGATTTAGAAAAAGTGTAATGAATTATTCTTTCAGTAAAAACTTAAAAGGCCTATTTATGATAGTAATACTGCTGTAATGATTTTTTAAGTCATGCAAATTGATTTGATTCTTTTTTTTTCACATTGATTTGTTTCTGAGCAAATATTTATATAAAATTTGAAGTACTCTGAAATCTAAAGCATGCTATCTGTGGTTAAAGTTTTGTTTTAAAATGTTTTTGATTGGCTTAAAAAGTCTTTTTAAATAATTTTTTTTAGAGAAAGTTTTTTTTTTTTTTTTTTTTTTTTTTTGCCATGGGGCGTATGTGCTTGCTGGAGAGACAGAGATAGACAGAAAGCAAGAAATCACCCCCCCCAGGGGGAATGGCCATGCCAAATCCCTTCTCTTCCATTCTACTCTTGAGATGTTGGGCACCTGGCATGAGTTTTAAGCCATTGGGTCTGGGACTTGAACCAGGGTCTACTACATGGGAGTCCAGAGACATAATCGTCATGCTATCTGCTGGTCCCCTTAAATAATTATGTTTTTAAAACAGGCTATTGTACACTGAGAAGAGTACAGGACTTAATCAGGAAAAGTATGTTTTAGCTCTAACACTACTACCAAGTAATTTAATAATTTTGGACAGGTCTGTTAATTCTTTTTTTTTTTTTTTTTTTTGAGAGGTTTTTGCTATAGGG